CTTTACCTCTTCATAATAATAGTACAGATTTATTTAGATACAGTTTGCAACAATAACAACAGCCTATAACTATTACACATAGTATTGCAAAGTTTGAATATAATACTTTTATATTCCATTTTATAGTCCATTTGTAGATAATACTTTTAACGTTTTGAATTGCTTTAACACGATACTCGCTAAAAGCGATGGCTGCAAACGAAAAACCATTGGAGTTCAATACAAAAAAATCGGGACTTTGCTAAATCCGTTTTAAAACGTGGATTTTCCTGTTGAAAAAATCACCTAGATTAGCGGGCATTACCGGCCCTGACCGCCCCACGGATCTAACTTCATACAGAGTAGGTACATCTCAACTTAGATTAGGATTAATCCACGTTTTCGCATCCGCTCCCAGTTTTTCAGAGCTGAGTATAAAGATTAACTGTGTTCCGTACAAGCTTATGGCTGGATCTTCCTTTATTCGTATAATAAATTTACATAAATAAAAGAAATATGGTCACAAATGCAGTAGATCATTGAAATGGTGCATTAATCAGAGATATTGCCATCTAATTTATTTTATGTTAATCTGATATTTTTGTAAAATGGCAAATCTAAATAATCCAATACAATTATTGGTGCATCACATGACATAGTCGTTTAATAGCTCAAGTAAGAAAAGATTATGACGTCGAAACACACAATCATATTTATTAATTTTATTATTTTGTTTAAAGTTCCTCCTCATCAATCCTAATAAAGATAAATGACCAGCATCATTTAAAGAAAAATAGCTACATTTAGGTAGATTCATTTACATATATTATCTTATGTTAAATAAAAATAAATAACGTCGAAATAGTCGACTATTTTAGTTAAAAAACGTAAGAAACAGACTGATAGGTAGACCCATATTTGCATTTACAATATTAATACAAATAAAGCCTTGAAGATCTTTGATTGTGATTAATCAGTTCAAGCGAAATTACTGACACTAACAAAGATTTTCATAAATATTCTCTATTACTATGAAAATAAAAAATACAGTATTTTTATTTCTGGTCTTAAATTGCAATATAATATAAATAAATACAACTAATATGCACCTGATGACACTAGAGTAATGTATTTAATTTTAAGCATTTGATAAATAACCTTTACATTTTTATTTAAACGTAAAGCTAGAATTATGGCATTAACTTAATTTCAAAGTAAGGAAGATTATAGAAATTAAGATTATCCCATTTCCTTATTACGTAATGGACGACGGGCGTATACATCTAATTTATTTTGTAGGTACCTAGTAACAACCTCACTGTTATATAATAGGAAATGAAATCAGAATTAAAATTTAATTCACAATTTATTCAAGACAAGAGATCAAAGAAATACGCCAAAGCAAAAGGAAAAACGGTAGCTTTATATTATCAAACACAATAATATAAATGAATAATTAATCTATAGCTGTAATGAAATCGTAGTTAGAACAAGTCTCTGTTTTAAATCTTTTTATAAAAGCTTTGTTTCTGCATCTATACTAAGATGATATTATTAATTGTAAAGAGAGCTGATTTTGTTATAGAGAAAATAAATTCCGGAACTAGTGCTCCGATTTGAGATTTTCTCTCAATGTTTAAGTACATTATTTCAAAGTGACACGGGTTATACATTATATTATATACCTGAAGAAATTTATAAGGTTAGAACCATCCGGGCCAACAGACCAAATCAGAAACAGGCTCATTTATTCATATAGGATATTTAAGGCTCTTGTGTACGAAACAATAATTATTGAACAAAGCACAAAACTTACTAAACGATTACTTATATGAGAAACGTGTATAGCAGTAGGTGTTCATACTCAGGATTTTCATTTTATTTTAGACGTAAACACAATCAAAGTTGACCTCTTTAAAATAAATCAATCATTTAAATTTCTAACTAGTGCTTCCCAATTAACTTAGGTATATACTGAGCTGGATGATAGGGGAAATAATAAAAAAATACTTGACCTTAATAGGCGGCTAAAATGTATCACAAGAATCAATTTTTTTTTTCATTGCATATTATTTCAGCATCATATTGTTTATGTTTTTAAGACATTTTTCAAAAAAGTTACTGTTGATCATAGCTGAGTGGGATGGTAAAAACCAGTTTATACGCACGTACTGAAAAGAAAATGAATTAATTTTCCTAATTTATTTCACCAACAAGGAAAACAATTTTTGTTTGTTATTCAATCTTCACGCTTAAACTGTTAAATGGATTTAAATATTTGGATTACAATTATACTGTATTAGCACGTGAGATAGGTAGATTTATCATGTTTTACATGGATAAAGTCATATGATACGACTACTAATAAATAAGGCGCATTGTCAAGATTACGATGTAATTACTTGCCAATTATATCCATTACATCGTTGATAGTAATAGTTTTTTAACAATACTACTACTATATTTCATCCCAAATTAATTAATATAAAGTACGTATCATGGTATTTAATTTGCGTGGATATTTACATCCACTGTCGACATCCTCTCATTACCCTCCGGGAGTACCTGCTTAGAAAGCAAAAGAAACTCATTAAAAGTTTTTTTTTCTGTACAAAACTCAGCGGTCGAGGTCCTGACATCTTCACAATATAAATAAAACTTTGCCCATTTTAAAGTTGCTGAGTAATTGACATCTTTATTGCGTGTGGTAGAAGCATCTCTTGCAATAATTTCACTAGGGCCACTCTACCTTAACGTAATATATATGTATATATATTCTAATTTTATTTAAACGTTATTAGCAGATACTTTTTTCCATACTAATCTATACTAATATTATAATGAGAGAGGGAGAGTACGATATCGGATTCTATTATGATAAAGATATACTTTAGAACCAATACGGAAAATTAGATAGAATTATCATTAAATTTCACTGTATGTTGTGTTACGTTATTCCAGAGTAACGCACGCCTATACACGATTTGTTTAATATTAATAAAACTTACAAAAATATAAACATCGGGACCATGCTGGGCCGGGCTACTAATATAGAATATTCCAGAACTACAAATGTATATATATGTGTTAAATAGTAATACATAATAATAAGTACTCATGTTCCTGTTAAAGACCTACAATTACGAGAACATCATTTGTAATGCCCAAGTATTAAACTAAAAGCGTACCTCTTGTAATAATGGTAGATGTAATTACAGCCATATTTAGGTATCTTACAACATTATACGAGAAATAATATTAGAGGTAAAACATTTCAACTATTTATCTTCGCTATTAAATTTCCTAGATATAAACTTTCAAAAAACGATACACGCTTATGGCGTACCTGTCAATAAGCGATATCGTCGCCTATATGCATGAACAGTACGGACATCATGTTATTTATCGGACAGACGGCCGTGGTACCACTTATACAACGTATAATTCTAGAGGAATACTATATCATCCAGATAATCAGGATAATCTCACCTTACAAACAAAATACAGCTTACGAAGCAGGCTAAAAATGTGAGATCCCTAATAAATTTAAGTCTACCCCGCAAACATTTTAATAACTAAGCCGTCATATGATCACAATTTTAAAATGTACATAGAAAAAAAATACCTTAATATCTACGCTGATTGATAAAATAAATAGTGCGTAAAGTTACTTATGAATGCTCGAGTAACGAATACATAGTTTTTTTTTTATATTTCCGTATTTGTTAATCCAAAGGAAGTCGAAAGTAGATGTTCATGTTCGAATATTTTACGTAAATTTAGTACTTGCAAAAGCAGTAGGAAGTGACAGTCGAGTGTTATTCCAGAACGAAAATGAATTTAGTTTTTTTTATACTCGTCTCTTTATTGTTGCGAGTTAACGGGGGAATATTCGATAGGTATAGCGGAAAAAAAATTGACGATAACAAAAAGACAAAGGAATTTCAGTCGTCGAATCTTACCGAGTAAGTTATTCTGATTTTATTCTTTAAAAAAATCCGTATTGTTCATGGTATATGTAAGTATGCTTGTAAAATATTATACAGTTTGTCAGTAGTTATTAAGATTATTTAGAAATCTTATAAGACTTATTGTTAATCGATACTGCTTGGATTCAGTTATTGGTTTTATGATTATTTATACGTACTTTTTCAATTAATTTTAATTAATAGATCATTTTTACAAATTATCTTTTATAAATTGAAAATTTTTCGTAATTACATATATATTAGTGCGTATAACTCTATATAGCGGCCACATAAGTTGGGATATCTGATGATTTAATAACGAATAATAACTACAATTCCTTACAGGAGATGTTCAATAGATGTGAAATCTTGTACACCCCATGGAGGTAGACGGACCGATGGTACCTGTAACAATTACAAATATCCATCAACCGGATCTGCCAGAGGGCCCTATCTTAGGCTTTTCAAGCCAGACTATAAATCAAGTAAGTACGAGGAATACTAAGAGGAAGTCAAATAAAAACAAAAAAGAACTAATATTTGTTAGTATTACTAAAACTCTAGAATGGCTGCACTGATTTGACTAGGTTTGTAGAAGTCTAAAAAAGATTCAAAAGATGAGAAAATATTAAGATCGTTCTATTGAAAAATAGAATATCTCTTTTATTTTTGTATAAGAAACTGTAGGTGTCGAAAACTGCTTTTAAAAATGAGTTCTGTAAGGTACGAAGTTCGTGAAAGTCAGCTATTGCTATGATATATTTATTTATGAATAAGATGATCTTCACATAACTACAATACCTGGATAGATATTGTATACACGAAATAAAATATTGTTGTACAGGAAGATAATTTTGTAATTAAATAATCTATTACAATTTTGTTAGCTTTATGTTTGAGTACTTAACTTTAAATTAATTTAAACTTAATTTTTTAAACAGAAAATATAAATAATTTATGTAACAATGAATGAGGTTTTTTGTAGATTACACAATAAATACCAACAGTAATGGAAAATCATTGCCGTCGGCCCGTAAAGTCAGGACTATATTAATGTCCACTGGGCGAGTGAAGGATCCAGAATTAAACATGGCTGCGGTTCATTTCTTGGAATTCATCAATAGAGACGTCAGCGCTTTGAACGGACCTAGTAAGATATTTATATATATTTATTCTACACAAACAATACATTTTGCTTCCTCTAAGTTGCCTATTCATAGATTAATAAATACTCCGAGGAGTTTAGAATTCAAGATACAACGTATTCATTTAAAATATTAGGGAATTTGTAAAATAAGTATACAAACAAAAAGTCCTAAAACGCAATTTGTAACCTAAATGTATGTACTAGTTCATTTATGTAGAGAATTAATGCACAAAAGAATTGAAAAATATTTCTTTTCTACAATATACAAGTTTCTGCAAAATATTAGATCGTTATTATTGCTTAATAATTCATAAGGTACTCTGTACATAAATTTAAATTGATTGCTATGTTTTAATAGTACCAGAAATTACTTTTTTCTTTCTAATACTATACTTTATAAACAAAAGTATATCACTTATATTTATTTAGCCATGTTTATATCGGACAATATATTAAATGTAGGTGATTAAAATTGTGTTAAACACTTTATTATTACAGTCGACTATTCAAAACATGGAATTAACTGTTGCGACTCAAAAGCAATAGATACCCGATGTAACCCCATAGAGGTCCCCGATGACGACCCTTATCTAAAAGTGACAAATATACGATGTCTGAACTTCTCCCGCGCCGAAACTTTTCAAGATATAGGATGTACACCTCAAATAAAACACCCCGAACAGGTTAGTACCTTTTAGTAAAACTGCACACAAACTCAACTAAAATAAAAAGTACCTACTTATACTCTAGTTAATAAGTATTATATAAATTAGTATTCATTAGTAGGTATTATATATTATTATTATTAGTAGTATATATTTAAAACTGGACATTTTTGGAATGGACATTTTAATTTTTTTAATTATTATAGTATATTGGGGCAAATACGAGCCTAAATGCATAAAATACAGTTCAACATAGGTATAAAATATAACTTGGATTTAAAGTATCGTATTGTATTATATGTATGTTGTTATGGATAATAATAACATTATGACCGAATAATAAGTTTCAATTAAATAATAATCTAAAATGTTTGAGATGTAGAGCGTTTTTTTTTATGCAAAACGTATACTATAACGTTATAGTATGAGTAGTTAGTAGGAAGAACTCGTAGGTCCATTGTCAGCAATGTGCAATATCTTATTAATCTCCACGTGGTTCCACCATCTTGATAAATTCGCCACGGTAGGCTAATTGACCAGATTTCATTCTCATTAGTACCCGGCCAACATATACCGTTAAAGCAGAGGGATGGGCAACAATTCATTATCATCAATTAAAAAAGTACCTACACCCCAACATATGTACATACATAGATTATAAACACATATTTTCAGATTAATTACCAAACACCAACAATAGATTTGTCAACTGTATATGGAGTAAACGAAAAGGCTTTAAGTACTGTTAGAGAATTTAAAAATGGGTTACTACGTGAAGAAAAAATAGCAATACCTACTAATAACAATACCGAAGATATTTGTATTCAATACAGAGACAACGAAACAATTTGTTATAAATTTGGTGAGTATCATATTTCTAAATTTGAAACTTATATTTTTATTTGGACCATTTTAGGCTATTCTATTTATTCAGTGTCTACATTATTTCTGTGCATTTCCAAGAGTTACAAATTAGGTATACACAAACGCCAATCGATCATTGAACCAAAAACACTTTCTTTTAGAATACATGAATTATTGATAAAGCTTGAAAATAGAATCCATCGTAATTCTTTCCGAAGAAAATGGAAAACTTTATCACGAAGATTATTTTCAACACAATCATCTTAAAATGATTGTGTGCACTTCTGTATATAAATAGATGATCCACAAAGATATATTTATCGTCTATCTTCTAGTATTCCAATTGATCTGAATAAAAAATATCGATATCCAAAATGACAAATCAACATAAAGACATTTGTACTGAAGTTGGGTCCACAAAAAGCATTATTAGAATACCCTGTGCAAACAATCCAATTTCAATATCTTATTGTGTAAATTTAAATTACTAACTAAACCGAAGGTTACTTAAGTAATATAATATAATTATACCTTTTATATCAGATCTATTGCTACTATCTGCTAAATCTGATAGTATTGAAATTGTAAAGTAAAAAGATGTTTTTCTTATATAATTTGTAATCGAAAACCGTCACCTACACGAATAGATTACAGATATCGCGTTATCATGTAATACCAGTAATACGACTCATGTGTTACCATTCGAGAGGACTAAGATGTCATGCCTCTTATCCTGTAGTTTCGCTGCCTAATCGCACCCTACAACCAAAAGATAGCTTCTAAAAGTAATCAACTCGGTGGCTGAAATATTCTGCGTTGACGTAGATCACATTTTACAGTCTACTTGTGGTAAAAATATGTATTATTCTACAGAATATATACTAATTTTACATTCGATACTAATATTCAAAATTTTAATGTGTCTCTTTGTCTGAGAGTCTTTGTATTTATTATTTTCTAGACTAAACGGTTTAACTAGGAGGAGATGAATGTTAGAGCTAGTTCGCATAAATGGAATTAAAATATTATTATAGTTGCAGACTTTGAATATTACCATAAATGTACATAACGTAATAATGATAATATATTTTTTTATAATACCGATATACCTAATTGGATTATTATTTATTTATAGGATATCCAGAAATAGCTAAGTTCGATATTAGAACAACAACCTTCAGCCTTTTCTTTACGAGGGAGCACAACAGATTGGCCAGAGCACTCCACAAAATTAACCCTTGTTGGAAGGATGATCGGTTATTCAAGGTAGCAAGGATGATCAATATTGCAACAGCCGCTCATATGTTCATGTATGAACTTCTACCAGAAATTATGGGTACGTACAAAATATATAGATTTTTTGTCTAATTGGTTTGAAAAGACGCAGTTGGCCCACCTGTTGGTAAGAGGTTACCGTCGCCTATATTAATAGCACTGCGAACAAGACTTTAACATATGACAATTATACCACTCATATATTGCTAATTTTGAGGACTTTTATCCAGTAATTTTACTGCCCAGTCTGCAATTTACAATGTAAACACAGCATACAAAACAAGCTGCTTAACGGCTGAAATAGGTGACCCTATAGTATCCACGCAAACAACTTTTTAAAGCGTATTTTAAAGAAACAAAATATGAATATTATAATATAATACGCAATGATAAACACCAGTATAAGGGAATTAAATAATATCTTATATATCTAAGAGCTAGGTTTTTTGGGCGTATTACCTTTCGATAATAATTTTTTTTAAGAAGTATATTTATTATTACAGGTTATAGGAATATGATAAATCATGGTTTGATATCAAAATACGTTGAACATGTGACTACATATGATGAAGATGCAGTACCTTTGGTATACGCTGAGTATGAACTCGCAATGAAGTTCTTTCATACTTTATGGGATGGCAGAATCAAGTGCGTATACTATAAAAATATGAAGTTCATTTATTGTTTAACTACATTGTATATTTGTTAAATATTCTATTAAATAAGTACATTATTTATTATTCCGGCATCGGTATATAACATTTATGTATTTACAAAAAAAAACTATCTAAGTTTTTATATCAGTTGTTTAACACCCATAACACAAGCTAAGGGTAATTTAATGATACTGTGTGAATTGAAACATTATTAATGTCATAATAGTGATTGACTTGTCATTTAATTTACAGAAAATATGATAAAAATCTGCATTTTGTCGGAGAATTGTCCATAAGTGATACATTATTTAGACCAGATTTAATCAAAAATAATACAGACTTCAAAAATATCAACCGAGGTACATTTTTCCAAAATGCTGGACGAATTGACGATATAATTGATCCTGAGGCAAGTAAAACATTAATATGTCTTATAAAGTAACTTACAGGAAAAATAAAATAATAAAATATCATGCATATCATCTCTTGATCCTCTGGAATGATAACGCTTTAGTGAAGCAGTGTTACATGATGACGCGATGTACGTGATACCATGTGATATTATGTTATCTGTGGTGATACCGTGCATGCATCAAGTAGACAGTCAGTTACAAAAAATATATCCTTATGAGAATCTCTACACGAAAATATAGTCTAAATTACTCTCGATATACAATTGGGAACACGATATATTTTATGATATATTCATGTGTATCACAAAGGCGATGATCATACTCATACTCACACACACACACACACACACGGAATATTAGGCTGTTAGTGACACAAACTAAATTAACAATATAATGTATAATTTAACAATAAAAAGTTACGAGAAACCCTAGCATTTGTTTTAATATTTTACTGCTCTCAAAAGTAATGCATACTTCGTATTTCTAATCAGATTTTCAGACAGATAGAGAGAGTGACTAGCAGACTCTGTAATAGGTTAAGTTGAAAGTGAAAAGTTAAAACTAAGACCGTGTGTAGAATATCTACACGTACATTTGAATGTTGAGAGAATCGCCTGAGTCCAACTTGATAATTAAGAAAACTTTGGAACACTTTAAAAACTTCATTTTTAAAACTGACTTGTGCAAAATGTTAATGGACGAAAGTTTTATGGCTTCATTTTTTTCTCTTCTTTGAAGATTTCAGAGAATTTCTACGGTAGAATAGAAAAAGCACATGACGTTCTTGCTGCTGATATACAAAGGGGCAGAGATCTAAGAGTACCAGGATATAACAAGTATAGAAAGATGTGTGGTATGACAACTGCCAAGAAGTTTGAAGACTTTTTAGATGCTATGAATATCGAGGTAACCTTCAGCATAAAATTATACTTTTAATTCATAAATTTATATTTAAAATTACAAGCTATGTTCTAAGTCAGCCACAAAGAAATTTAATAATTCGGAAATAAATTTCATATTGCTGTCGGCATAAAAATGATAAGATCTTGCAAACTATAACTATTGTCTATATTTTAACACTATCCTTCACATTAAATAACAAATAGAAAAAATAAGTCAATAAAATGGATATATTATTGCTTTATTTCTTCTATTTGCATTTTTATAAATAATAAGATAGGTACGTACTATTACACATAGGCACACTGTTTATTAATCATACAAGAATATTTAATTTATCATATCAAATATGCGTCTCTATATTTATATAAATATCTTATAATTAATCTCATAGAAAATGGAGGCCTTAAAGGCACTTTACGACGACGTAGACGACGTAGACTTATTCGCTGGTATTGTTACCGAAAACTTCGTCCAAGAAGCCCACGTAGGACCCACCCTGTACTGCATTATGGCAAAGCAAATTCAAATATTCAGATTCGCTGACCGATTCTGGTTCGAGAGAGGCGACCAGTTTCATAGCTTTTCGTTATGTAAGTAATAGTTATTATTTATCTTAATATTATTTTAAATATACTATATTATATTTAAAATATATACCATATTATGTAACTTTTTTATTTTCGAGTCAACGCCAACATAAAATTATATTATTACATTTATCGAATGAGATAAAAAAAATTAATACAGTGATTTTTGTTGGATTATTCATTCATTTTGTTTTATTTATGATAGTACTACTACTATTCTATCTATACTGTTTTAATGAATTAAAATATTAAGGTCAAATGTGTCAATTTTTCATCACTCAATTGTCTAATAAATCGAATTGTTATATTTACTCAACATTTTCATTTTCCCGTACTATAACTGTAATTAATATAATTAATGTTAATAAATAATTAATATAATATATAATTAATTATAGTTGTAACTGTATCCTAGATTTTTTTTTGCAGTAGGCCACAATTACATTTAAATAAAAAAATACTTCAATTACGTATCGTTCTTGTTTCCTAACAGGATTACCAGTTTTTCAAATTGCGCTGCCATTGCAATCTGATAGTCAAATAAAGAGAAAAATATTCGGAATTCAAAAAGCAATTGGCTGTGATCACAGTTTAGCAATGGAATTGACGTTTATAAATGTTTGCAGCTCAATTACACGAGATCAGAAAAAGCAATATGGCGCGGTTTGCATGTGACAATGCCGATATCGAATTTATTCAGCCACGTGCATTCCACATTCCTGGCCCTGGTCACCAGTATGTACCAATATTTTTATTTTCTATTTATTTATATACAGTTAAGTTAAAATACGGCTAGTAAAAAAACTTTACGGCCTCAGTGGTCTAGCGGTTTAGCACACCGCTTTACTTCCGATGTTTGCGGGTTCCATTCCATTCCATTGTTTGGAACGGTCTAGGTGTTTTGTATGTATATTATGTTACAAATATTTATTAAAAATATTAAGTGGCAAATATTTTTAGAATAATGAACTCTATTAATCTGAATTCTTATTTAAACAAACCAGGCGCTGGAATTTACTTTCCGTTCACAATAAACTCTCTCGCTGTCACTTTCTATAACTCTCTCTCGCTCTCTCTCTTTAAATGTTAGTGTAAATTAGTGTACAATTATATTCTGTAAATTGACTTCAAGGTATTTTGCTTAAATGTCGTTTAAATATACGATAACGCTTCCGACACCAATTACTGGAAATATAGTGGCGACTAAACGTAATTTCCTCCTCAGGGAGATGCAATATTGTCTTGGCCTCCAAATAGTTCACAAGTGTCTAACTACTAGCCGTTCTTAGTTGTTAGTAAATGGAAGTGAATTACTATTGCGTAAAATATTTACTTAATTCATGACTTTAGTGGATTAAACTAAAACTTAGTTAAAACAATATAATATGTAACATGTGATGGTTAAAATTATTATTACCTTGATTTAACCTAAAACCTACATACAATCTGCGATTTATATGGAATATTTATTAACTTAAAATTATACCTTTTTCTATACGAATCTCACGTAAACCTTGTCCTGACAATTACAAATACAACAAAAATAAAGAAGTAACTATTCTATATATATATATATATATAATCCATTACTACGATCTCCGAGCAGTCGCCATTGTTAATTCCTGGTAAATTGACCACACTAATTTAATTATTAAATTAACTAATCTGACTTCATTTACATCATATTGGTGGTGGTGGAGGATGACCAATATCACACCAACGTAAACAATATACACAGGCGGATGCACCATTCTATCATCAATAAAAAAGTACACTGCAATTCTCAATTGATGCTCTTAATATTCGGCAATTAGTTAGAAAATTATTATCAACGAATTAATATATTATCACTGTATTTAAGTGATATTATATTAATTAAATACAAAACAAAAAGTACCTACACATTTTGAGGTTTTATTCGAAATTAAAACGTTTTATTGCGCATTTAATCGCAGAAGAAATTTTTGCTCTAACATTTAAATGAGTCACCAGTAGACTGTAATGGAATGGTAGAATGCAATTACATGCAGACGTGCCATTTATTATTCAGGACAAGTTGGCTTAAAGTACTTTAAAATGAAACTAAGAGTGACTGTGTAATTCCAGTACATTAATCGTAATAATTATGATATTTATCATGATTTATATCTTAAAACAATATTAAAATATTTATGCAATCACCCAAATGACTGTACTACATATGATTGACACATTTAATTTCTCATATAAATAGTCGTCCTCAATTTTATTTTTTTTGCCAGTTTTTAGATTATTCTGAGAAAACATATATTGCTTAATGTATAATAAAACTAAAGTAGAAAAAAGGAAAATAATTATTGAGTAAAAACAAAATACAAATACATATATAAAAAAATAAATTCCTGTAATACAAATTTCTAGAGTATTATCGTTGTAAGAACCTTTTCTTTTTGTGGATGAATATGAAATTGTGCCCCTGCATGCGCTAGCGGTATACGCTGACAAGACATCAGTAGATGATAGGATGGCAATGATTCTAATCAGTTAGCCGATTGGGACTAATTTATTTATTTAGGTTAGGTAGGTAGTTTAGGTATTTAGGTAGTTTTATTTATTGAATTGTCCTTTGCCAATTAATAATCTTCAAATTCTAATAATCAATACATCTAATTCAAATAGCGCAATTTACCATGAATTAACTTTAAAAATTTCCAGGGAGAACCTCGTGGAGATCGACGTGAAATGAAGTGAAAATTCTTTATTATTCTCCTCACAGAAAAAAAAACAATCATTTACGTACTTTATTATATACAAATATATAAATATATGGGTAGCCTTATCGCTGAAAAGCGGTTTCTTCCGAAATGAACCAGTTGATCCTTATGACAGAGAGGTGATTGTAAATTTGATCGACATCAAAAATCCTTCATGTCAATGTGTACCTAATGTATATTTCTCTCATATAGGGAGAAGACATAATATTATTTTTGTTTTTTTTTTCAGAAATGTACCGGTAGCCTGTATTCAAATACCAGGACCCAACCTAAACGCGTGGCGAGACAACAGCTGCCAGAAAGCAGTACTAAAAACAAACCATACATCTTCAGACACTAAAACTATTTATGTTCAACAACCTTACGCTACTAATCACTATGTCTCAATTTATAATACCTTATTTAGTTATAAACCTAATTAAATATTCCGTATAATAAAATGTAAAATTAGTATTGTGTCCACTATTATATTATTATTACTCTGTGGTCCATAGCGACAATGTAACAGAACAAAAATAGACTAGGTAATAATCATTATAAAAAATTCTAGCATAATTTCGAAATTCTAGTCTCTATAATATTAGAATTGCAAGCTTAGTAGCATTAATTATTAAAAAAAAATCAATAAAATCACTACTACTAGTGATTTTCTACAACGTATTTATTTAGGTACTAAGTTAGATAGTTCATTGTCTCATACAGTAATACATAATGGATGTGGTTAGATAATATTATGTGCCTGAAGCGGCAACAAATACTTTTTAATTGCCAATTTTTTTATATCAATACATACTATGAATACCTTGATATTAGGGACACGAAATCTTTATCGTAATACTATGCGGATATAAAGAATGCAGATAATTTAATACCAACCTACAGCTTCCTACTCAAAATATGTTTATGTTTACGAAACTAGAAAAGTATTGGATGTACTGACCTAAATTTTTCACACAACTTTGCATTTTTATATGAATGTCTTATGAATCTGAATTATGTATGGGTTAAAGTATTTTATAAGATTAAAAATGATAAATAAATACATATCTCTGTATATTTTCTTCTTAAATATGATCATATACAGGTAGGTAAAACAGAAACTTCTGTCGAAACAATATTCACACAAACTTTTAATCACTTGCTGATTACTGAAGTCGTAACGTATTAAGTACTGTAACTGAGTTGAACACCTCATGAAGTTTGACAAAGATCATATTACGAACGTGTTTCCATTTTGACAGCACCAATGTGACTAATAATAAAGTTTGTACAAATATATTATTTTGGTCACGTATTAATTAGATAGTAATATAACATCAGAGTGAAAATGTAACATTATTTTAATACAAAAGTTTTGTACTGAATATTTATTAATAATGCTGAACATTATGGTGAATAGTGGAAATATCATACAGGTTACAAAAAAATAGAAAATTGTTTAATCAAAAATACATAAGGACATAAGGTATCTAATGAATAGACTATTGTGAGGAATAGACTACGCTTCCTCAAAATATTTACTTCCGACTTATGATACAACATGAAATTAATCAACATTATTCATATTCTCATTTTGGGAAACTTGGGAATTGTAAGACAAATATTCAAACTCATATAATAATGTAAATAATCAAGCGGCATTAAATAGTGAAATTAATAAAAACAAGGCCCTTGTTCAAGCTTACACAAACCTATAAATAATTACTCCACCTACGCGTTAAGCAAATAATTCTTACTAGTCAGAGACGATACAAATATTCAAATATAGTATAAAACATAGCGACTCACTACTAAACTACTTGCCTTAAGCTCTTTATTGATATGAAACTTCGTCCTACGTTAAAATGTAATTCGAAATGCTATTTTTATGAACCCTCTAGACTATTTTTTCTACATAATTTTGAAGTAGCAACTCGAAATTTAAAATTAACGAGTGAATTAGACGTTGTAATGCCTATTTTGGGCAAATAAATAACACATATATATTTAGTTGTGATATATATTTATATAGATATTATTAAATATTCTGACTCCGGGTGGGTGTCACAACCAGACCACTCTGGATATAAATAGCAACGTACAGTTAACAGCCAAAATTTCCAGAGAACTTCAGAAGCAGAACGTTAGAAATAACCATGAATTAACGTGTTGGAATTAGTTTCAGTTATATTGCACTATGGAATAGAGTAAATACCAAAGATTGTTAACATCACACAATTACTATATAATATGATATGATGTTGTAATCTGATGTGATATGATATGATATAATGTAATATATCATATCGTCATTTATGCTATAATTTTTGTTACCTCATAAGCACCGTCTCCTCTCAAGCTAAGCAGAGAGTTGTTATAGATACTACACAACTGATATTTATATATAGGTAAATTTTTATATAAATACATACTTGATATGTATATAAAATAGTGGGTACAGGCGATAAAAACAAATGTTTGTCACCGTACAATACATTTGTTTTTATCGTCTCGTAAGGAATCAAACCCGCGACCATTGGTAGTATGGCTAAACCGTTATACCATCGAGGCCGTTAGAAAACTACTAGTACATTTATTTTTAATTCTACAACATGAGCATTATTACAAATATATAACCAACTTTATTGTGTAGTAGATAAGTACGAAACTTAAAGGAAATCTCTAATGATAAGAGCCAAAATGTCGTTTCCGTCACTCGGCTACATGCGAAATGACAAATGATATCTATAACAAGATAACTTCAACTTGGTAACGACAGTAAATATTATATTGAGAGAACGTGATTTATAAGGTATTTTTTATTTCTTGATATTATGTAGAGTAATTATCTGTAATGATTAATGTAAAAAATAATATAGAAATATGTACTAGACCCCGCAAACTTTGTTTATCTACAATATATAAATTGAAATCGCTATTAAAAAATAGGGGTTGAATGTAGAAGGGTGAAAATTGAGGGCTGTATTTATTTTTAATGCAATATTATAAAAAAATGTTAGGGTTTGATAACTCTTATCACTTAGGTATGTCAGATGCATATGTCAAATTTGTTTTCTTCTCAAAAACTGTGCAACCGATTTGGGTGCGGTTTTCATTATTCTAATTGATATCTGCTTATAAGCAAAAATATTAATACTACGGGTATCGGGTACACGAACATCAGCTAGCAGATAAATTACTCTATCTAGTAGGTACTTACCAACAAAAGTAGGCAGTAATAGTGAAGACTTTATAAAAAGTAATTTATATAGGTAGCTCTCTTTCGCCTGATTAGCGTGATTTAGCTCATGGGTGAGATAAGGAAGTGGAATTACAAGATAAAAGGTACATCGTAGTCCTGAGACATCTTAGACGACAGTAGCCATGGAAACGACTTTTTTCAGCGTACCTCGGCATACTTATCCACCGAAAGATGGCCATATCAAATGGTTTCCACACAGACGTTAAGACCCTATCTAGAATAAAAATGTTATAAATAAGTATATTATTACAATGGGATATAGATTATGATAAAATGCCTTTTTTAACATACTCATTACTATAAGATTACGAAAGAGTTACTAGTTTTGGAGACTATTCATTATTTCCATCCAGTCACTATAATTGCATTTCAGTTAACATGTCAATAGTCTCCTCTGGTATAGTCTCCTTCAATACATCCACTAACTCTTGTCTAATAAGTTCTTTAGGCCAAGATCACATTACGATCTAGTAACAACATGCATACACATCTTTCTGCTCATTCCCGTACATAATTCTAGTTATTAAAGTTTCGTCTGTCTTAAACTTATCTCTCCAAAAAATAACTACATATCTTATGTGTCATTAGGCCAGTTCATTGCCCTCATGTTACTCCTCAGAGCTCTAACTAAAGCCCGTAAGGAACAAAAAAAAGATGGCACCAGTTTTTGTGCTATTTAAATAGTAAATGAACATCACTACTTTTTTTTAATTGAGTTACTTTATCTATCGGCATAGCAATCAAATTGGCAATAGAAAATGTGAGTGAGAATTCCTGTACGTGACCAATATGCTTTTGACCGTTTTTTATTCAGTTATGAACTGGGAGAGATATTTTCGACTCATAAACGGGGAAATGGGTCGGACAGGACCTAATGTCATATTTTATTATTAAAAGCATTCGAATAAACCTCGCATACTTAATGCGAAGTTCCATCACTGTCGGGAGAAAAATCCGAGTTTGATTTGGGACATTTTTTAAATCTAACCTTTTTATTTTTTGCAGGCGCGAACCCAGCCTAAATAAATAAACGTTTTAGTAAGGTCAATTTGATTTATTTATTTATTTATAACGATAGCTTTTGTTCACAACTTATTTGGATCTTCTTTAAGAAATGTTATATTTTTTCATTGTACATAAAAATATGCTTATGTACAAAAAGACACGTATCTAGCAAATTAATTCATATATTAATGCACGCAGGAAACAGCTAGAAACTTAAGTTTTTAATATACAGATTTATTTTAGTCTATTCACTGAAAAGTATTTTCCTGAAATTGTCAGGGACTCTAGTCTAGTTGTCTATATATAACGATTATAGATAACGGTTTCTAAGTAATAATTTAGTATATATTATCATCGGTAAGCCTGCCGACTACCATGTTGGACTCAAATATACCCAGCCATATGGGCATGTCAAATGTTGCATTCACTACAACATCGACAGTTAACAATAGTTCTGACTACCCATCTGGGATAACAATCGTGACGGTACATGTATGTATGTATATATTTTTTTATGGATGATAATGGAATGGTGCATCGGCCTGCGCTAACGGTTTACGCTGGCGAAACACCAGTGGAGAATGATAATGAGGTCAGGTCAATTAGCCCATCGTGACAAATTCACCAAGAATTTATCACGACGGTTTCTAGAGGAAACCGCGTACAGGTCAACCTGACATGATACATTACTAGCAATAAGATCCTCAGTCCACATTGCTAATAGCTATTTCCCCCTGATTGTATATATTATAAAGAGTTACAAAAGTTAATACCTTTAATAAATGTACCTACGAATATTAGTCATTAGTAACTGTATTATGTGGGTAAATTTGATTATAAAACATTTTTTTATATTAATTAAAAACGAAATAACAAATACTATACGACCAATGTCGCGACATTGTCCGTATAGTATTAGTTATTTCTTTGACTGGCATTTTGAACCTCATTGTTGTGAACGCTACCGACACGATCAATAAATAAAAAAAAAGGTTCTAACTTTTATTGATACGACAATTTTATGATATACTATTGTATATATATAAAACTTACTTCACTTAACTATAATATATTGCAAGAAATTGGGAGCCTTGAACTGATGCTGAGGCATCACCTGAAATCGAGCAAGAAAAGAGAAATGAGAATAAATTATCGGAGTTTGTCAAACATTTTCAA